TGTGAGCGTTCAATGTTTAACTACGTGATACTCTCATCAGTCGAGTGGACCCTTAGGATCACTTTTATCTTCTATCTTTCTCCTTAGGGAGATCCTATAAGATGCTTTTCTTCTTCTTCTTATTATTATTATTATTATTATTATTTTTATTTTATTTTCTTTTCTTTATGTTTCACGTTACACTGTCTCTCTTCTTTACTAAATTAAGTTTTATTTCATTCTATCTTTCTCTCTCTCTCTCTCTCTCTTTCTCTCTTGATGTTCACACAAAGAAGCCCTCCACCCCCTCCCAACGCCCACTCCCCCCTAAAATGGAACACATAGGTTAGGTTCGAAACGTTCACCGTTTCAAGTGGAAAATCCGTTAAGTAAACTTCCCAGTTATATCCACCTATCCAAAGGAAAGGTGTGTATGTATATGTGTGTGTTTGCACTATACTACTCCAACCAATAGAACTTTACGATATGCCTTAACCATGGTTAACGTTTTTTCTACTATCTATCTTTCTTTATTTCTTTTTACTTTATATCTTTGATTTTTTTTTTTTCTTTTTTCTTACTCTTCTTCTTCTTCTTCTACTATTTTACGACGATTAATTTAAGTTACTGGTAGTTTGGAGCACAAGAAGAATAAACGACTGGTTTTAAACTACTTAAGAATAAAAGGGATTATTGTTATTGCATTTTATACGATAGCTGTCTGTTTAACGATAGAAATAAATTTGAAAGAAAAAAAAAAAAAATGTGTTTCTTCGTTCTCTTTAATAAAAGACATGCGAACGTACGATTGAATCCGAACGAAAATAATTTACGTATCGAATATTACGAAAAAAATGTTTCGTGTAAATTTTTTGTAATTAAGTTGCATTAAATGCAAAAAAAACATTTTTCAACACCGAAACAATTTTAATCCGAGCACCGATGCAACAATCATTTCGAAATACAATTATTATGCAATCGTTCTAATCTCGTTTTTTAAAAAAAATTGTTCTTGTTTCTTGGATGCTGTGGAGGAGGCAGGGGGAGGGGGAGGAGGAGGTTAACACAACAGGTATCTGATACATCAGCACCCATTCGTTATTGGGCAACGTTCCAAGTTGTTAAAAGAACGTTCTTAAGATAAAAAACAAGAAAAAGATCCGCAATAATTCCACGTTGAAATCATATTCCGAAGATGATAAACGAAAAAATAAAATAAAATGGCAGAAACATCGTTTATAAGCACAAGGTAAAGGAAATAAAAAAAAAGAGGTGTAGAAGAAGAAGAAAAATGTATTCGTGGATCTCTAAAATTAGCGTTTAGAAACTAATGAACGGAAAAGGGGGAAAAAGACAAAAAGAAAAATGAAACTACGAGATAAAACTCGGACGATTGTGAGAGATTGCTTGTGAAAAATAAAAAACGAAGAAGTGTGATAGAGGGTAGTAAAAGAAGAGAAGGGTGGAGGAGGTGGAGGAAATTAAACGAAAACAAGCTGATAAGACAACTTCCGTTGACTAGCAACTATACTCTACGTTTTTCTTTTTTATTTCGTAGTATAGAGTTTCTTTCTTTTATTTCTTATCTGTTTTAGACTAAAAAAAAAAAAAGAAAAAAAACGAAAGAGAATATTTAAAAAAAAATATTATACGTTCTTTATATTTCGAAAAATAAAGATGGCAACGATTGATTAACGTATTGATCTTGCTATAAATTGAAATACAATAAAAATCTAAATAAAAATATGATTCAATCGATTGATTTTTAAATAAATTGAGATTAATTTTGTTTTATTTTTATGATTATTATTCGTTCTATTTACGAAATACGAGGGAAACAATACGATTATTTTTTCTTTTTTTATTCCTCTTCTTTTTCTTCTACTTTTTATTTTATCTCTCAAAGAAAATCTTCTATTTATTAGAAAAGGATTAAAGTAGAAGAGATAGAGAAATAGAGAGAGATAGAGATAGAGAGATAGAGAGAAAGGAAAATACAATTGAATTAGTCGACTGATATTTCTGCTGTTCCATCAGAGAAACGAACGAACCCTTCGTTACTGACGATTGTAACTAATTCCCTTTAGCAGGACGGTAAATCGAATGAATTTATCTGGAAACTCGAAGGGAGGAAGGTAAAGATGGCGAAGATACCAGATTAACGTTGCTACGATCATTTGTATACGTTTCTATTAAATTTTACTACACGCGATTTTATATTCACGATCATTTTCAACATTTTCTTTTTTTGTTTCTCTCTCTCTTTAATATTATATAACATTGCATTTAAAATCGTTTTAATAAAAAGAAATATTGATGCAATTAATTAAACACGAATCAAGTATTATACGATAATACACAAACACAAATATTATTTAATTGTACGACGTTGCATATGAAAACTTTAGCGTGGATAAAAACGATACAATGCAACGTAACAAAAACATCGTACAATAAAACACAAGGGGGATCTCGTTCAAAATTATTTATTCTTATTTTGAAATAATATAACAAACAATATAGAACAATATATTATAGAAAAAATTAGTCGAATAATTTCTAAATTATTAATTTAAATCTCAAAGGAAATTTTAGACGGTTATTAAATCTTATGAATAATTTATTTTGAACTAGTTGTACGTTTCATTCCTTACTGGGGACTTCATCAGCAACTTGATCATTTACAGTTCACGTGTCAATACATATTATCTTTTTTACAGAGTCATACATTTCAATAAAACTTAACATATTACAATACAATTTGATCCTAAACACCTTATCTTATCATACGTAATCAAATACTGATTCTATCTAGACTAGTGTTTAATAATCTAGGTATCTTCAGTATTGAAAATATGGTAAATATTTTTTATGCTAAAAGTAAATAAATTTTAATAAAACTTATATTAAATTAAAGTACACTCTTTGGTCTACGCGTAGAATACCATATCGATTAATAAATTTAGCATATAAACTTCAAAAAATGTCAGAGAATACAATGCTGTAAATGGGGCATCATTGCAATTTTTTTAAAAAGTTTCGGTAAATATTTTTTATACTTTTTGCAAATGGATATTAATGATTTTTATATTAAATAAAAGTACATTCTTTTGTCTACGCGTAGCATATCATTTTAGGATATAAATCGATTTGCAAAGGTTTAAAAAATATCAAAGAATGCAATGCTGTAAATTTTTTCTACTTTGCCATTTCTTTAAAAAGTTTTGGCAAATATTTTTTATACTTAAAGTGAATAAATTTTAATAAAACTTATATTAAATTAAAGTACACTCTTTTTGATTTCTCGATTACTACACTTTCCTTCCATACACGTATTGAAAAAAGTTCTAGATTATTATAATAATAGATAGACGTTTTGATTGGTGTAAAATCTAATGTAAGTGAAGGATCATCAACAGGTTCTTCGTGGAATCAGTGGAATAGTCATTGGCACAATTCCAAAGAAGAGAATTCACGAACGATGCGTCAGTTTCGACAACGGGCCACAGGTGCGCCAAACGAGCAAAACAAGGGATGCAGGAGGTTGCAAGAGCAAGAAGAGAGAAACCTTTTATCGAAGGTGGCAAGGATAGTGAAAAAAAAAAAGAGAATAAAAGAAAAAGAGAGAAGCATTCGTGAAACGATCGAGAACGGGAAAAAAAATGGGGAAAGAAACGAGACATCGAAGTAGTTTAAATACCCTCAAGGAAAATACTACCCGCCCATTTGTTTTTTTTTATTTTTTCCTTGCATATTTAACACACATTATATCGAGAATCTAAAAAGAAAAGAAACATTTGCATTCCGAACTTTGGAATCTCATTCTTGTTTTCTTTCGATACATTTACACTTTGCACTGGTGTGTCTCGTGTCGTTTGAGATTTATTTTATTATGGTTCTTCACGTTTTTCAGGGAAGGCAATTATTTTATTCCTCATTTGTATACACGTTTCACTGGATAAATTACTTTTGAGATTGTTCCTGTTTTTTATTTTGTTTTTTTATCTAAAAGTTCTCCACTCGTATTTTTATAATATTCTAAACGCGAATTTTGTATTCTAATATTAATTGACTGTTAAAACTTTGGAGCTCTCTTTCTGAATTTTATTCGGCACTGATTTCACTCTACCATAATAAGCCACTTAAACAATTTTTTGTTTGTTTCTTTCATGGAGATTGCGAATAATATAAAAATATTTGCATAAATTAACAATAATTAGTTGTAAGGGTGTTTGTAAAGTAATAAACAAATTGTTTATTTTAAAAAGGAACAAAATTTTGTAGCTTGTTAGTTTCTTTTTTAAATTTCGTTAGCACTAATTCATTGAACAACCATACACTTAAAAACTTTTCATAAAAATCTTCGATAATTAAAAATGAAAAAGTACGTATACAAATTTGTGAATTAACTTATACAAAAAAGAAAAATAAACGTATATTCATTTTCAAAATATTTTTTTTTCAAAAGAAATAAAACCGAAAAAATTGTGAAAAAGTTTGATCACGTCGAATAAAAACATTTATCCAATTTAATATCAGTGTGAATTTTGTCAAAATGCAAGCGAGGATGTTGAATCTGGATTGACTAACTCGTAGTCTGGGAAAATTTAACCGGAGGTGAGAGAAAGAATCGTCATCAACAGGTATTCACAGTTCGGATTCGGTTCAAGTCCAATAAGAAAAAGGGTATTGGTGGTAAAACTGCACTTTACACAAATCTTACAATCTAATCGACAACCGATAGAAAAACGAAAACGAAAAAGAAAAAGAAAAGAAATGCAATGAAAAGAAAACATGAACGAGCGAGTAAACAACAAATTGCACGTACAAGAAAACGATTTAATTCTAATCATATATAAAAAAGAAAAGGAAAATTAAATTGTTAGAAAAGAAACGAACGATTTACACCCCCGTCAAGAAAAAAAAATAAAAAGAAGATTATCTCTCTCAATAAATAAACAACAATAAAAGCATAGAAGAAGGAATACAAAAAAATGATGAATAAAATGATTAAAACTTACCGTATTATAGAAACACGTTAGAACATATATTTCCTAATAGACGTTCCTAGTATATCCTTCGAGAATAAAACAACGTCCACTGGTTGGAAATCCTCCCAAATGTTATGGTGATCTTCTTCACGATGGTCAAGTACCACAAGCAAGGACAAGGTCGGGAACAACGTGCCGGCAGTTATCTTTGTAGAATAATAAAAAGATGACGACGAAGATGATGACGATGACGATGATGATTCAAATAAGACGGATAACAATTTGTTCGTAATTAACAACGATAACGTTGTCAACGATAATGATGATGATGATGATGATGCCGACAACAAGAACAAGAACAACAACAACAACGACGATGAAAATTGTTTCAATGGGATCCTTAAAAGCATATCACTGTTCGCGAATCTTGGTGTTCGGGGGTGTTGGGAAAATTTTAGGGGATGATCCTTTATTGTATACTTCTGTTTATCACCAATAATAATAATAATAATAATAATAATAATAATAAATTAACATAGAAAAAAAATATTTGTACGATTATTAATAAATCTCACGTAACGGGGGTAAAATGAAAATTGGAGAGAGAAACAAAAAAAAGAAATATATAAAGAAATGACGTGTGTATGATTAAATAATCGAACGAATTAAATGAGTGAATGAATAAGTAAGACAGACAGAATGAGAGAGAGAGAGATAAAGAGAGAGATAGATAGAGATAGAGAGAGAAAATTATAGAGAGAAGAATAGAGAAAGAGAGATCACCGGGGCGCGCGCGGTTTCACTCGTTGGGGGTGTCGCGGTGCGACTGTAGCACAATCGCAACCCTCTCACGTTCTCGCGGCTTCCATCCCCCTACTACTATTCCCTTCTCCCCTTCTACCTTCATCCCTCTGTCTCACCCTCCCCACTCGTCGCACGCGACTTCTCCCCACCATGACTCCCACACAACTTCTCTCCCTCTTCTCTTAACTTAACTTCACTTCACTACTCTTCTCATCTCATCTCTAGCCCGGCTTTACTATCTCGACTAGTTTCTATTTCTATATTTCTACGTGATTTTCCTTGAATTTTCTATTATATTATATATATACAGATTGATGCATTTCGAATATGAACCATATTTGTTATAAATTTGATATGATTTCTCGTTGTTATTATTATAAATATAATTAATAATATCAATTTATATTTGAGATTTTATATATATATTTCTATCGTGAACGATCAAATATATCGAATTTAGTTATAAATATAATTTTTATATTAATAATTTTCTAATTCTAGGAATATACACACAATGTACAAAAATTAATTAGATAGTTTCAAATGATCTGAACGAATCTTAACGTATCCATACAAGTTTTACTACAGTTTAACCTACTATAATATATTTAATTGTTATTATTTAAATGAACAAAATTATTAAAACAATGTAACTTCAGAAAAAAAAAATATTGAGTATATGTAACACCTAATTATAATAAAATCACGAAATCAATTAAAGTTCAATGATATAGATCAAATTAAAATAATAATAACGAAATAATATAATTCCCATTGAAAACAATAAAAAGTATAAATAAAAATGGCTTGTTTTAAATGCTATCACCCGGTATAAATATATATATATATATATATAGTAAACCCCTACTCTAGGGGTATGTCTAGCCACTCCTACAGCAGTGACGTGCCTTTTCGAAAAGCCCTCTCGTGGCTCTGAGTGTACCTAACTCAGGTTCTTCGTTCAGGTGGCCTTAAACTGATTGCTAAGGATGGATAAGATAAGATGAAATGGGATGAGATGGTTGGATAGATGAACAAACGGATGGATAGATGGTTAGATGGATGGATGGATGAATGGTAGGTTGATTGCTTGGTTGCAATGGATACGATGCATGGATATAGATGGATGAATTGATGGAATCTCTTGAAGAAGACCGCGCATCGTCCTGCAATCGGCCCGCGCACGCCCTCTCACTATCTTCCCCCTCTTTCCCCCTTTCAACCACCCCCCACCTTATTTCATCCCACCCATTTCTTACCCTCTCTCATTCTTCTAACGTTTTCTAGAGAGGTATCTTGAGATACTGAGAATAGTTCTTAGACGATCAAGTACTAGGTTAAGAGAATTTTTTAATCTAAGTTATGGTGGATAGATATATCAAGTGATAAACTATAACATAACATATAATTAATGTACGGTTAAATCAAGAAAATAATGTATAGATAAAGTATATTGTAATATTGAATATATTTAAGTTATTAATATTAAACTTAGGGTGGGTGTGTGTTTGATGTATGATGCATGATTAAAAAAAATGAAAAGAAAGGGAGAAAAATGTCAGAAAAATATATTTCGAAATGATATTAATTGTACGATAAACAACGTATGACAAAAAATATAAATATAACGTTATACTGTAAATTTCATTTTAATTATTACTATTATAAAAATACTATAAGGGAGTATATATATATGTAAACTTATGTGTACGAGTATATTATATAAAAGATTTTCTCTATAATGATTTTCTTATAGAATGAACGATAATAGGAAGTAGAGAAATCAGAGTATCCCATAAAGATGCAACTTCCGTTCAACAGTTTGACGAGCTCACGAATGTTCGTCGAATGTTGGTTGGGGTCCCGTAATTTGTGCTTGGATTCCATTAATTTTCCACGAAAATTCCGAAAACATTTAGTTGGCGGGAGCAGAGGGGGTGGAAGGGAGGGAGAGGGTTGGAGGTAAACTAACACGACGAAATAATTTCCAACGATGCAATATTGTGACGGAATCTCGTCCCTATGCTTTTCCAACTACGCTAACATGCCACCACCACCACCGCCACCACCACCACCACCACCATCACCAATATCGAAATAAAACAAAGTATATAATCGATGGATAAATAAATAAATAAATAAATAAATAAATGAAATAAAAAAGAAAGAAAGAGAGAGAGAGAGAGATAGGATATTAATCGCAAACATCGATCTCAATTTTTTGTTTACCCCTTTTTCGTTGATTCGTTTTTTATTTTTTTATCATAAAAAATATTTAGATTAAAGATTCGAACAAAGATAAAGAGAAAAAAAAAACAAATATAATTTATGATCAATTTTTCACAGCGATATGCAAATTCAACGTAAACGCGTGTCCCGTAATCATTGATCGTTTATTTAACACGGGAAAAACAAATCTTCCAAATTTGCCGTTTACGCAAAAACGTTTCTCGCATTAAATATTCAATTGAAATTGTTACGAAATAATATAATGGAAAGAGAAATATTCTATCTATTAAATTATACAATATATTTTAAATATCATTGTATCATATATGTGTGAAAAATTATAAATTGTTAAACAACCAAATTTTCCAATACGACAGAACAATGTTAAATTTGTTCTCATTTTACTTATCAAATTAGAATATTATTATTACACCATGTATAATAATATTATTTATATAATAATATTATTATAATGTAAAAGAATTTGTTCCGGGTAAAAAGGAAAAAGGAAGGAAGACGAGGGGGCTGGGGAGGTCCTTGGAAAAGAAAGAAAGAAAAAAAAGGATCTCATAGAAAAAAAAGAAATATCCTTGCAAAAGGGGTAGTAGAGGGGTGGTGGTGGGTTTCTTCTCCGAGTTGTAACAGTCATGCGTGCATCCGCAAGCAACTTTCGTTGGCCTCGTTTTTTTTTGTTTTTTGAGAAAAATCTCGGGCGCGAAAGCAAGAACGACGACGTAATTTTCCCCGTGCAATGCTGAATTTGAATTTGACGAAAAAATGGAAAATTCTTTCTTTACTTTTCTTCCATTTTTTGTTTTTTTTCTTTTTGTTTTTTTTCTCTACCCTTATTTCACTCATTCGCTTTTGCATTCTACATAAATCTACAGAAACACATTCACACACACACACACACACACACACACGTACATAGATAATATGAACAAAAATATATATGCAAGTAAAGGTGTCGTTTGCAACGAGAATTGAGAGAGAGTGGGTGGGTTGGGGAGAAGGGGTGGGCCCTTTTGTTTTGAGAAGTTTTCAAAAGAAAGAAAAGAAATTTTACAAACCACCCCCTCCCTTCCACCCATCTTCTACCCTTCCTTTCTCTCTCTTTCTTTTTTTTTTTTTTCTTTTTCTTTTGCTGTCTCTTTTTCTGCGTCGTCACCAAGACATTCTTTTTCAAGGGACGAAGGGATGAAGGAAAGAGGAAAGGGGCGAATAGAAGGACAGAGAATGGCGCCCGTTCGATATTAGGAAATACCTCCTGCCAATTTCGGATTATATAAGAGGTTAACGTATTCTACAAAAACCTTAGGGCTCGTTCTCCCTTTTCCCCGTTCGTCGTCGTTGTCGTCGTCGTCGTCGTCCACCTCTTTTTTTCTTTTTTTCTTTTTTCCCTTCCCCCTTTTTCTACGAATCCCATTTTGTATTAAGAATTTTGATATACCTATTCATGCGAATTATTTTGCGAGTTCTTTTTTTCTTTTTTACAATATGTCCAACTCGCACTGTGTATATTAATAAATGAAACGTGGATTATTGATTCGTTGAATTGTTTGTTAATTTTAAACAAGAAAACGAAAATAAATATGTATAATGTAATGTAAAACATTTCAATGTAAATTTGAAATAAAAATCAGGATCAACGTTTGAAAATGTTTCATATTATTTCATACCAATCGAAAATCTTGTGTCTATATATTTAAAACGAAACGATTTAATTAAAAATATATTGTAGAAAAATAAAAAATGCCTAAAAATTGTCAAGACAAATGATCAAAAACGTTTTTATTCATTAATTGTAAGAACGCACCTTATTATATTAAAAAGATAATGCATGTTATAATAATTATGACAAACAAACATAACTAGAACGTAACAATATTTACGAATAAATAATTGTAAAAAAATAAAATATATATAAATATATATACACACACACACACACAAACAAATAATTCGATTAATTTTCTATTAATCCAAATTTTATTTATTCCAAAATAAAATTCCAATCTCGTTTATATAAGACACAATTTATCGATGGTCAAGAAATCTTTCGTACGAGAGAAGAGATCAGATTTAAAGTTAAACAAAAAAAAGGGGGGAGTCAGACGAGAGTTTTGTTTAAAGTTAGAAAAATGCAAGCACGGATTAAAGTAGCATCCTAAAGTAAAAGAAGAGGATCGAACGGGTTAAAGTAAAAAGTAAAAAAAACGAAAAAAACGAAATAAAGAAAGCAAACAAGAGATAGAAAGAATAAGAAATAAAGTATTGGGAGAAAAGAAGAGTAAGGAAGAAAAAAAAAAAAGAAAGAAAAAGGGAAAAGGGAAAACGTAGAAGGTAAGAAGAAATGTTAGGTGGATGTAGTACGTCGTCCTTGGTTGGTATAAAATAAAGGATGACCCCGGTTGGTCGGCCCGGGGCGCAATATCAGCGAGAATTGAAATA